CTTACTTTGGTCTGTTCTGAGGTTAATTTAGCTTTAGTACCTAGAAACACTTGGTGGTTAGACTCTGGTGCTACTACTCACATAAGTGTTTCTATGCAGGGCTGCCTGAGCTACCGAAAGCCAAGTGCTATTGAAAAACACATCTTTATGGGCGACGGACAATCGGTAGATGTGGAAGCAATTGGGCACTTTAGGTTATTGTTAGGAACTGGTTCTTATTTGGATTTGAAAGATACTTTTGTAGTACCGTATTTTAGACGGAATTTAATTTCTATTTCTGTATTGGACAAATCAGATTATTCTTGTTCATTTGGAAACAGTCAATTCAGTTTATCTTTTAATTCAAATATTATGGGAACCGATTACTTGAGTACTTATGACAACCTATATTTACTTGATACAATTGCTTCTTATAATGAATCCTTGCATGTGGAATCACGTGGTACTAAGCGTAAATTAAATAAGGAAAATTCGGCGATATTATGGAATAAGCGCTTGAGTCATATCTCAAAAGGTAGAGTTAAGCGTCTTGTGTCTGATGGCATTTTGGATTCCCTTGATTTTTCGGACTTCGACGTATGTGTTGAATGTATCAAGGGAAAACAGACCAAAGTTAAGAGATTAGGTGTCAACAGATCTTCGGATGTCTTATAATTGATACATACGGATATTTGTGGGCCATTCCCTACGGAATCCTGGAATGGTCAATAATATTTTATATCATTCATAGACGATTACTCACGTTATGGGCATCTATATCTTATTCATGAAAAATCTGAGTCTCTGGACATGTTCAAAGCCTATAAAGCTGAAGTTGAGAATCAACTCAACAGAAGAATTAAAACCGTTAGATCTGATCGTGGTGGTGAGTACTACGGTAGATATGATGGTTCAGGTGAATAACGTCCAGGACCATTTGCTAGATACCTAGAGGAATACGGTATCGTCCCACAGTACACCATGCCGGGTTCACCTAGCATGAATAGTGTAGCTGAAAGACGAAACAGGACTCTTAAGGATATGGTAAGAAGTATGATTTCTCATTCTTCTTTACCGGAGTCTCTCTGGGGAGAAGCACTTAAGACAGCAACTTACATTCTGAATAGAGTACCAAGTAAAGCAGTTGCTAAAACACCTTATGAGCTTTGGACTGGTCGAAAGCCCAGTTTAAAGCATTTACATATTTGGGGATGTCCAGCTGAGGCAAGGCCTTATAGGCCAAATGAAAAGAAATTAGACTCCAAAACAATTAGCAGCTACTTTATTGGGTACTCTGAACGCTCTAGGGGCTATAAGTGTTGAATGTATCAAGGGAAAACAAACCAAAGTTAAGAGATTAGGTGTCAACAGATCTTCGGATGTCTTATAATTGATACATACGGATATTTGTGGGCCATTCCCTACGGAATCCTGGAATGGTCAATAATATTTTATATCATTCATAGCCGATTACTCACGTTATGGGCACCTATATCTTATTCATGAAAAATCTGAGTCTCTGGACATGTTCAAAGCCTATAAAGCTGAAGTTGAGAATCAACTCAACAGAAGAATTAAAACCGTTAGATCTGATCGTGGTGGTGAGTACTACGGTAGATATGATGGTTCAGGTGAATAACGTCCAGGACCATTTGCTAGATACCTAGAGGAATACGGTATCGTCCCACAGTACATCATGCCGGGTTCACCTAGCATGAATAGTGTAGCTAAAAGACGAAACATGACTCTTAAGGATATGGTAAGAAGTATGATTTCTCATTCTTCTTTACCAGAGTCTCTCTGGGGAGAAGCACTTAAGACAGCAACTTACATTCTGAATAGAGTACCAAGTAAAGCAGTTGCTAAAACACCTTATGAGCTTTAGACTGGTCGAAAGCCCAGTTTAAAGCACTTACATATTTGGGGATGTCCAGCTGAGACAAGGCCTTACAGGCCAAATGAAAAGAAATTAGACTCCAAAACAATTAGCAGCTACTTTATTGGGTACTCTGAACGCTCTAGGGGCTATAAATGTTATGATCTCACACTAAGGAATATTTTTAAGACGGAAACAACAACATTCTTTGAGGATGTTGAGTTTGGGGGGGAGAAATAAGGTTAGAGACATTAGTTTTGAGGAGGAATTGGCTTCAGATCCAATCCATACAGTTACTTTTGATAATATTCAAGTTCCCATACCTGTTGTTGCTCAAGAAGTAAATCCGGAACCTCAAGATGATAATGTTGAACAACTCCCTGTTCAAGAAGAACAAACTCAATAACCTCAAGAACCAGTGTCATTAAGGAGATCCACAAGAGAAATGAGAAATGCTATTTCGGATGATTATATTGTATTTTTTCAAGAACATGAGGAAAATAGTAGAATGTTGGAAGATGATCCAATCAACTTCTCTCAGGCCATGAAAAGTTCTAACTCTCAACAGTGGATTGATATCATGAATGAAAAATACAAGTCTATACAAGACAATAAGGTTTGGGAACTTGTCCCATTGCCAGAAGGTGCAAAACCAATTGGTTGTAAATGGATTTTTAAAACTAAGCAGGATGCAAATGGTAATGTGGAGAGGTATAAAGCACGTCTTGTGGCTAAAGGTTATACTCAAAAGGAAGGCATTGATTATACAGAGACTTTCTCTCCGGTTTTATCGAAAGACTCTTTCAGAACAATCATGGCACTTGTTGCTCATTATGATCTTGAGTTACATCAGATGGATGTTAAGACTGTATTTCTCAATGGAGACATTGATGAGATGATTTATATGGTATAACCAGAAAACTTTATGTCAGGAGACCCAAAGAATATGGTCTGTAAATTAAGAAAATTCATCTATGGACTCAAGCAAGCTCCTCGTCAATGGTATCATAAGTTTCAACAAATAATTATCTCGTTCGGTTTTGAGATGAACATTGTTGATGACTGTGTATATCACAAGTTCAGTGGGAGTAAGTATATCTTTCTGGTTCTGTATATCGATGACATATTGCTTGCCACTAATGATATAGGCATGTTGCACGAAACCAAGAGATTTCTATCAAAGAATTTTGAGATGAAAGATCTTGGGGACGCCTCTTTTATATTAGGGATCCAGATACATCGAGATCGCTCTCGGGGTATTCTTGGATTATCACAAAAGAGCTATATCGATAAGGTACTTAAAAGGTTTGGCATGCAAGATTGCAGACCAGGTGACACCCCTGTTGCTAAAGGAGACAAGTTTAGTCTCAATCAGTGCCCTAAAGGTAACCTTGAAATTCAGGAAATGCAGAAGATTCCTTATGCTTCGGCTGTAGGAAGTCTAATGTATGCTCAGGTATGTACGCGTCCGGATATTACGTACATTGTTGGGATGTTAGGCAGATACTTAAGCAACCCTGGTATGGATTATTAGATAGCAGTCAAAAGGGTTATGAGGTATCTTTAGAAAACAAAAGATTACATACTCACATACAGAAAATCAGAACAGCTGGAGGTCATTGGGTACTCTGATTCTAATTTTGTTGGATACCAAGATAGCAGAAAGTCTACATCAGGCTACATTTATATGTTAGCATGAGGAGCTATATCATGGAAAAGTATCAAACAAACACTTGTAGCTTCCTTCACTATGACAGCGGAATTTGTAGCTTGCTATGAGGCATCCAATCAGGAAATATGGCTGCAAAATTTTGTCACAAGACTGCGTATTTTGGAAAATATGGAAAGACCACTAAGGTTATATTGTGACAATAAATCTACAGTAATATATTCCAATAACAACAGGAGCTCAACTAAGTCAAAACATATTGACATTAAGTTCCTGATTGTGAAAAAAAAGGTACAGAGTGGACAGATATCTATAGAGCACATTGAGACAAACTCCATGATAGCTGATCATCTTACTAAGGGATTGCCACCCAGGGTCTTTCATGAGCATACTGCTCATATGGGTGTGGTATTATTTGAGGATATCATAATTTAGTAGGAGTTTGTAATTGTGGTGCTTTATGTTTGGTTGTATTGTCTGATCAGAATAAAGTATTCAGTTAAGACACTCTGTTACATTATGTTTGGTTTTGACCTCACTAAGGAGGACCAGTTGAAAATAGACATGTACTGATCACATTGCATGTAATTTTCATGCTGCACATTCATGATTGATCTATGTCGTTTGATTGTATTGGTATATGTGACCATTGATGGGTCGAATCACGATAAATGTGACGAAGGCCGCTTTGATCCTATATTGATATAGTAAATAAACGAGATTGTTTAGAAATACCTTTTCAGTGATAGCAATTTTTGAGCTCATAAGGTTATACACAATTTAAGGAATCATATGGTGCCCAAGTGGGAGATTGTTGGATTTAATCTAATAAATCTATTTGTGGGCACATATGATTAATCAATGTGTATTGCTATCCTTCAGGATAAATCTATTTGTGGGCACATATGATTAATCAATGTGTATTGCTATCCTTCAGGATAACCCACTAAAGTGATAAATTAATTTGGGTTAATGGATATTTAAATAAGTCATGGGGTTATATGTACAGATACCAAGTTGTAATTGTGATTTGATGAGGGGCCAAATTACAAATGTACAACATCTATAAATAAGGGGCTATGGTCCCTAATCTAGGGTTACATTCTCTAATTCTCTTCACCCCTATCTAGAGATAAATTTGGCTAGAGAAACCCTAAGGTTAGAAGATCATCAAAACCCTAATCAGGTTTTCCTCAATAGATTCAGGTATAAGCTTCCGCTCTTTTCTTTTGATTCTTGTAAATCTCTTTGAATTAATCATAGCTTTATGGTTTAGATCTTAAGTTTTTATTAGATCTAACAAAAGCTCTTCCCGCACACTTGTGTGTGAGTTTATGATTCATTGCTTTGAAAAGCCTCAAAAGACCCCAGTAAAGCCCCATTTAGAGCGAATCAAGCCAAAAGCTGCATTGCTTCGAGGAAAAAAAAAAACTATTGTGAAAATTCCTGGATTCAATTGAAATTTTTGGTATCTCACTTTGGCCCGCTTTCTCCTGCTTTCTAGTGTCCTAGGTATTAGAGATGTAATTGATCCTTCGTTCACTCAGTTTAGTTTTGATTTCATAAGTTGCATACTCCAATTTACTATCTAGCTAGGTATATTGATTAAGAGAGGATCTTCCTGCAACAAATGGTCCCGTAAGTCTTCAAAATATTATTTCTTAATTATTTTCTGGTATGACATTTTCTCCCCCGTTTGCCAATTTTCTTCAGTCTTCGTATCATGTTCAGTTCGAAGTTCTCGTATTGATATTCAATGTTATCTTCACTCTTTGAAGTTGTAAAAATATTGACTCTTTGCCTAGGCTTGAGTGAATTTATTCTATTTCGACCTTAATAAGACATACATATTTTCTTATTTTCTAACTTTTTTATTTTATTTTGAAACAAACTTCATGCTTTCGTGATTCATTTTTTTTTTTGCATTCACATGTTTACATTTACCATATGAGATATCATAGTTTGATCCTTATGAGTATCGTTTTTTATTCTTGTGGAGTATGTAAATTAGTATATTTGAATCACTAGTCTTAATAAGTATATCTAGTCATTACTTCCTACAGTTATCTTCTTAAATATTTGTTAGATTCATTATATTCATCTTTATGATGCTTCAAATATATCGCTTATCATTGCCTATAAATTTCCAACAATCAACAAGTTATCTCGTATAGTTTACACTTTTCTTAAATTTTCAATTTTTCTAATTTATCCTGTTTTAGTTATGTTAACCTTTTTCAATTAAATATTTTCCGCGTTTCTTGCCTTAAATGCCCTCGTACGCCCCTGAAGCCTGAACACCATCCTATCGCTTTCCAAAATAGAGCTTACCATCACGTGAAGTGCAGAATATAGTGACACTCAATGGTATCTGAGGATTTTGCTTTCATGTGTTAAGCCAAATTTTAGGGTTTAAATTTGTATCATCTACTAGTAGATATGTTACTCCTTTTCGTACAATTCTCTTAAAAAAAGACATACTTTTCTTGGTAATATCTTAAATCTATCAGACTATGCAGTCTAAGTTTTAACAGTGCATGAATAATGCACTTGCTAGTTAAAGCAGGACTTTCTGGTTGATGCTTATAGCTCCTATTCAGTATTTAATCTTTGCTCGTTTTATCCCATTCTATCAAGGCATCTGGAATAGCTGCTCTTGATGTAAAAATAAATAAATAAATAAAAAATAAATAAATAAAAACTCAAAGATGCTGCTCTCTGCACTGTGGAGTCTGTTGCATATTCACCAAGAAAAGATCTACTACAAAAGGAAATAGCGAGGCGAAAGTTGACAAAATCATTGAAGCAGGTATGGTTTCCCTCCCAATAATAATAATAATAATAATAACCAAAATGTCTATCAACAAGTTCTTATAGAACATTAAATAGAAAATGTCTTCTACAGCCTCAAAGCCTGTTCGATCAGGCTTTACCAGTGCTAGCCATCTTATTGCACAAAGGCTTTACATCATCCAAAATGCAAATCACTTTTGGGTCAAAAGAACTTGATAAGATATTGAATGGCAAACTCTACTCCATGCATTGAGGATTAAAAAAGATATAGGCTACTAAATGTATAATCATTTATTAACCTGAGTTTTTTCTCTGGTCAGGACAGATTGAAACTGGATCTGTTACTGAAATATGGTAAATTTCGCTCTGGAAAGACTCAGGTGTGTCACACACTCTGCGTCACTTGTCAAGTAAGAATTAGTGTTATAAATGTAATCTTTACCTATGAATGAATATCAAATTTTGTTCATGATTTTTCTTGGTAAGGCATATATACGTCTGATAGCAGATAAGGGTTAATTAATGAATTGATAGCGAACATTGATTACAAATTAAACCATTACTTGTATGTTTAAAGACTTTAACCAGCTAATTATTCGTGGCTGAGAATGAATGCAGGAAGCTCTAGACATTGCATTAATAAGTTTGCTTGATTTATTTCTGCATTTTGCATTCTTTAGTTTTGTTCAAATGATGGCTTTGTTAAGATTTTTGCTTGCCATAGTTCAAAGATTTTCCCACCTTTGCTTACACACACTCTATAGATTGTTGATTCAAATCACAATATTATTATTATTATTTTGATATATCTAAGCTTCCGCTGGATCAAGGTGGTGGTGAAGGGAAAACCATGTACATTGATGCAGAGGATACTTTCGGACTGCAAAGACTCTTATAGATCGCAGACGGGTGCCAATCCTGCCCTTAAGGTTATCTTTCAACATTTACGGCATGGTAGTTAACATGATTAATGCTCGATGTTCACAGATTTGGACTAAATGGTGCTGAAGTTCTGGAGAATGTGACTTATGCTAGAGCCTATAATACTGATCATAAATCAAGGCTTTTGCTGGAAGCAGCTTCAATGATGGTGAGGCCATGCATGTTCAGTTTTGAATCTGGCACGTTTGTTCATTTATTTATGTCATCATCCCATTAACATCATAATCTTTTCTTCTTCTTTTTGCATTCCGACAATCAATAAAAGAACGTCTATTCCTTTCAGTAGTTGAAATAAACTACAATTTTTTATATCCCGACTACGAGAAAATGCTTTTACCAATTTAATTTGCTGTGGCATCTCAGATGTTCAAAACATTAACTTGGATGTAGCACAAATACATGGTTCCTCTTTTATTGATGAAATTGGCAGTGATCTCATGACACGTCATAGTTTGGCAGTTCTATGCTTGTCTGTCTTTTTTGGCACAGTATGATAAGCTGTTGGTGGAATGTAGTAAAAATATAAGCACATGACGTTTTATGGAAAAAAATTAGTGTGGCATTGGACTATGTAAAGGTTATGCTACCATCCACCCCACCAGACATACAAGGATCTTACCTTTTAGCTAGTTTTTCCTTTTGTTCAAATAGGAAGTAGGCATGATTTGGGCTCCTAAATATGCACAATTAAGTGTTAAAACTTTGAAACAATATCATGCTTGAAAAAGATTAAGGAACTTTTCTTTTGTTGCGCGCCTATGCGGAAGCGTGCTCGCACACCGAACGAATCTGTGATCACGGGAGAAGATGACCAACCACACAAGAGCACAATTCAATCCAAATACGACAAAGCAAACCAAACACAGAGATATACGTGGTTCGGCAATTTGTCTACGTCCACGGGGAGAGGATGAGAGATTTCACTAAATCAAGGAGAGTACAAAGGGGTTACAATCTCACAAAATCACTCACACAACCCCTAAACCAAATCTCTCAACTTGCTCACAAGTTCTCCCTCTCAATATACTCAGTACAATCTAAAATCTCTGTTCTAAACCCTAGAAAAAACGTGTTTCAATATATATCAAAACACAAACCTAATGCGAACAGGAAACCAAAGTTCAGGCCCAGCCCGACTCGTGGTCGACCGCAGAGCCACGTGCGGTCGACCGGATCCAACGACAGAAACCAATTTCATTACAGGGTTTGGACGGTCGACCGCCGGGCCACTCGCGGTCGACCGTGAAAAGTCCAAAGACTGTTCTAGCTTGCGTGCATGTTTGCGGTCGACCGTCACGTTACTTGCGGTCGACCGCTGGAAGTCCAAAGCTGTTTTCTGTCAATTTTCCTGTATTCTCTTCATCTTTGACGAATGAAAGAATCCATCTGCATTCCCTGCGAAGTTTGCAGTCTATATATGGACTGGCATACTATTTTGTGGCACTCATATCTTGTATACCCTTGCATTATCCGCGTACGTGTTCTTAATCTTTCATACCCACTTCTGTTTCCTGTATAATAATTAGATTGCTAATGCGATCTTCATGAGTCCTTATCGTCTATGGGTTCTTTTTCATTGGTATGGTGAAACTGTTCTTTTGCAGGTTTTGTAAAGTAATAAGTTCTCCATGCTCAGCAGAAGCTGACACAAGGTTTCAAATTTCTTCTGAAGGTGTACCAGATGTGAAGGATTAATATATCTGATTCAAGCTAAGCTTGTTGCCTGATTATTGCGTCGGTTGCTGCTTGATGCCCTTGTAGCTTCCAGATGTCACAAGCTTGGGTGCAATTCATAAATGTGAAAACAGTTGTCTTCTTTTCCTTTAATAGTATCTATAGACTATAACTTTGTTCTTGTAATTTCTGTACGCACGAACATTTTGAAACTACAGCAAGATCAGGGATGTTCTCTTCAAGTGCCGTTGTCGTTAACAAGTGATTTCCATTAACATCAATAGCAGTTATGAAGGTGATGCCTTCTTTCAGTAATGAAAAATCAAGTTCATGTGGGGATTAGCTGTTGTGTGATTTTTTGCCTAAATGATTCATATGCTTTTTTCGAGTTTAAAGATGGATAAATGGGGCTGCAGAGATGAACAATGTAAGTTTCTTGGTTGGGAATAAAGAAGGGGGAAAACACCCAAGTATTGTGTCACAAAGTTTGGCTTCTTTAATATTTTTCCTTTTGAAGAACAAATGCAAGAGGAGGATTTTGATCTGCTCCCCTAGAACATGCTGAAGTTACACAAGAAGCATCAGCACATGAGGCAGCAGAGCAGAGGTCAGTGAAGCTATTTGCAAATTGCATTACACGGGTTCTGTTTTCAAGTTCTCCTGTCCCTTTCATCTCATGTAGGAAGCATTAAATGCTTTTGACTATTTCATGCAATTCGTAGAAAAGTTTACATCTTGCTGCTAGTACTCATTTAAAAAAAATTAAAGTGCTATTTCTGTGTCTGAAATTGGCAGTGAAAGGGGTAGAATCGATCATCTCCACTGACTGCAATCTGTCGTAATTTGGCTTTTAAGATGCACATTGCCCATGCTGCTTTGGATTTTGTTTGCATTGCTTCTTGGCAGTAATTGTTTTCATGCCTCTCATTGCTTTAACTATTAACTTTGTTGTGGTCCAGCGTATTGTTTACTGAACTTATTGATTTTTATTTTCAAAGGACGCAGTTGGGCATAACATTTTGCTCTACCCTTGTGCTATTAGCCATGACTGCCTCGCCTACAAAAAGCCAGTGATATTTTATGCGAATTGCTTGATTCGTGTATTGGAAAAAAAAAATTCCCTAGTTAGTTATCAACTTAAGCTGTTTGGTTGTTTTCCAAAAAAATCGGAAATGAAAAACTCACATTTCAACTCATTTCAAGAGATTTCAAGACATTTCCCGCATTTCTTTTTTTTTCGCAATGAAATCATCGTCACGTTGTTGCGCGCAGCGGAAATTTCGGCAGCACTTCGGCAGCACAACAAGAGTTAGGTCGCAATAAGAATTCTTATTTCTCAAAGGGAACAAGAATCTGAAGTCTAATATCCCATCAAAGTGGGATATTTGCTCTTCCTCTCGTTAGCTCTAGGACTGCGCGTCGAGGGAACCTAAAAAGCTATTACAAATCACACAAATAGCAGTACAACCAATTTTTACGTGGTTTGGCAAATTGCCTACATCCACGGGGCAAGGAGGGGAGAGATCTACTATTAGAGGGAGAGAATACAACTAGGGTTTACACAAGAATCTCACAAATAAAACCCTCACACAACACTCTCAAATCCCTCACAAAGCTCTCTCAAAGGGATGCACAAAACCCTAAAAGAGACTACACAAAATCTCCTCAACTGCAGCCACAAAAAGAAGAAAACCAAATCTGCTTTGCATTGTTTGCTCTCTGTCGCAGCCGCCAAAAAACAAAACTCCTCCTTGCGTGCACGCGAAAACCTAGAAATCAATCCTATTTATAATTAATTTGCGGGCAACGAAATCTCGAGCCGTGGGCTGTAGTGGGCTCGTGCTCTTCACGCGTTCACACGCCTATGCAGCAGCACTTGGGTGTTTCTCTCATGTGGGTGGCCCCCACGTCCACTTTCGTTCACAATTCTCCACCTCAATGAAGTTTTCTCAAAACTGAGCCCACACCATAGCATCCAAATGTCCCAACTTATTGTGTTCAGTACGAACTCAATCCACAACAAGTCGAGAACCCGAACGAGAGTCCAAACAATCTCACCCCCATCAAAATCAACTAATCCAAAACCGGCTGCATCTGAAAGACTGCCTACGTATCCTCTTGCCCAAGGAATCAAGCCGAACGTAGTTCATCCAAATGGCCGTCAACGGCCTCAACAATCACGAATATGCAACAAGTTTCGACAATGATCAAACTTGTTGCTCGGAACCACCTTAGTGAGCATATCCGTCAGATTATCCTTCGTGTGGACTTTCATAATCTCCACATCGCCATCTTCAAGAACATCTCGAACGAAGTGATAACGAACATCAATGTGCTTCGTCCGCGCATGAAAAACCTGATTCTTCACCAAATAGATAGCACTCATGCTATCACAATGAATAGTGACGGACCTCTGCGATATACCAAGTTCCTCCAAAAGTCCTCGAAGCCAAAAAGCCTCCTTCACAGCCTCCGTACCTGCCATATACTCTGCCTCCGTCGTAGACAAAGCCACCGTCGACTGTAAGGTGCATCTCCAACACACCGGTGCATGGGTCAAAGTAAACACATACCCCGTTGTAGACCGGCGCTTATCCAAATCCCCGGCATAATCCGAATCAACATAACCAATGCATAGCTGCCCACCTGTAGTGTCCCGCTCATAAACCAAACCAGCATTGAGCGTACCTCGAATGTACCTCAAAATCCATTTCACAGCGTCCCAATGACCCACTCCTGGATCATACATGTATCTCGAAACCATGCTTACCGGCTGTGACAAATCCGGCCTCGTACATACCATCGCGTACATCAAGCTCCTAACCGCACTCGCATATGGAGTCTTCGACATCAACTCACGATCTTCAACTGACTTCGGTGAAAGACCAGCTGAAAGCTTCAAATGGGCTCCAAAAGGTACACTAACTGGCTTCGTATCCATGCTAACATGAAATCGCTGTAGAACCTTCTGTAGGCATCGAAAATTGCCTATAGGTCTCCACGAACGGCTAAGTGCTAAGAAAAGACGATGAACGTCACCATCTGGTTCACAGAAGCTTGATTGATGTCGGTGAATGCTTGAAGTAAACCGACGAACTACGTGAAACAACGGAGCTTCAGAATGATGAAGATACGAACTGATCGGGAACCTCACATCGTTCACAAACGGCGAAATACCCTTCATATCTCATTTGTTCAACTGATGATATAATTATTGCAGCTTATAGAATTCTTTGTCGGCTTTCCAACGTACTTGGAATCACTCAAATCCGAGGTCGAATGAAGAATTTATGGTGGAAACAATCAAATAGGCATAACGGGACGTCTCAGGCTGAACTAGGGCACCCGGGGTGTCTCGGCACGGGCGAGACACCCTTGGGTGTCTATGCCAAGGCCGAGACACCCTAGGGTGTCTCGGCCAAGGCCGAAACACCCTTGGGTGTCTCGGCCCAACTGTCTCGCACAGGTGCGAGACACCCCGAGCTGTCTCGCACTTGGGACGTGTTTTTGACGGTTTTCGATCGGTTTTAACCACCCGAAACCTCCTGGAGCCTATAAATACAGCCCCGGGTCCTCATTTATTTCAGATCTGGAATTTTGGAGATTAGGCGAAGCCCTGCCGGATCGAAGACTGAAGGTGCACGAATTTCAGAGAGGAGGAGGAGTAGAGATCTGATCAAGTTCGTCGGTATAAAGAAGAAAAGCTTGTCAGATCTGCATCACCCGCATCCGATCCTTAGGATTATCCCGTTGTGGTAATTCTAAGAAGAGCAATTATCTCGCTTCGCCGAGATAAGCGCTACAGTTTCTCGATCCCTTCGCGCGATAACAATGAAAACACCAACTTTCACCGCAAACAAACTGGCGACCACAGTGGGAGCCAACAGCCTCGCTGCCGAGGTTGTCGTGCCGCAGCCAACGATCAAGATCCCCGTGGCTGAAGAGGTTGAATACGAGTTCGACCAGTAGAAGTTCGAGGAGTATGTCTCCTCCTCCTCCTCCAGATCTGCCTCTCCTTGCAGGTGCAGGAAGGACTCCTCCTCCCTGAATATCCGTCGGTCTCCAGATCTGAAGAACCAAGATATCGATCTCCCCATAGCCGATGCTACAGTCGTACCTTACAACGGTCCGCCGGCATCCAATGAGACCAGATCTGCAGATCTGAACTCCTTCACGATTAAGGGGTCGGCTGCTGAAGGCGCGCCAACTCTATCAAAGAGAGCACGTCAAAGGAAACGACAACGCCTCGCGCGCCAATTCGCCAAGGCTTTGGATCAGGTGGATGGACTCCATTACCAAGCAGATCTGGAGCTCAGAAAGCGCCAAGTGGCTAATCTGTCGCCACGACCAGCATCGGAAGCCTCCTCTCGATCTCCAATTAACGAATGAGTTCGTGTCCAAAGAACCCGCTCTACTCTCGAGGAGCGAATCCAGAAGCGCCGCGCCTTGCATGCGCATGCCCGAACCCTTGTGCAAAAAGCACAGGAAATACAAAAGGAAGAGGCAGTTAAGAGATCGTCGAGATCCAAACAAGTTTGGGTGCCAAAAGCCAAATCAGCGCCTAAGACAAAAGCAGGCGACGTTGCTCTCCGGCCTTCGTCAACTCCAGACCCTACTCCCGCACTTTCGGTGAAGCCCTATGACAGCGTGGGTCTCTCCAAATCTAGAATCCCATTGAAGGATCGTGTCGGTGCCCTACCTGAGAATCGAGGAAAAGCGCTTGTTAAGGAAAGCTTGAGACCGTTGAAGGAGCTTCGAGCCAACATCCGGACTAGGGGTCGTACGCAACCTCCTAACAAATTAATTTCTACAACGGCCCGCTCGGGGGTGCGTGCAGAAAACAGGAGCCCGTTAAGGTTTCACCCTCACAAAGGTGTGATTCCAAACGTGTGACTCCTGCAGACGCCAACAAGGCAATGTTTACTCAGAGGAAAACGCGTCAGACAGACGAACGCGTTATACCTGAGAATTCATGTAAGCAGCCGATAGGTTGCTCTGACTACAACGTCGATGAGTTGTACTATTGGGCTGGAGGTACGAATGAATCTCGAAAGAGAAGTACCCGGGAAGCGGACTCTCACTGTCCGTGTATCAAAATTATCAGGGTAGTATTATCAACGTGTAGCTGCCCCAAGACCGCTCCGCGGAGGGTCTCGGTATTTGAGAGGGTCTCCACTAAAGCATCAAAGCCCAAATCAAGGCGTTTTCACAAAAGACGATCGGTTGTTCGAGATGACGAACT